ATTCCAAATAGCAATAGCACTTAGACTTATATACCACTTTACAGCCCTCTCTAAGTAGTTTACAGAATCAGCCTATTGCCCCCCAACAATCTGGGCCCTCATTTTACCCACCTCGGAAGGAAGGCTGAGTCAACCCTGAGCCTGGTGAGATTCAAACTGCCAAATTGCAGTCAGCTGGCAGTCAACAGAAGTAGCCTGCAGTACTGCATTTTAACCACTGCGCCACCAGGGCTCAAATGCTGTTGATCAGCTCATCTGGTATTGAGGGAGGGGAGGAGGAATGGATGGGACACCTTGTCCTAAACATCTAAATACCACTGCTGGCCGGGAGATTCCGGGAGTCAAAGTCCACCCTCTTAAAATGATTGAAAAACACCGATCTAGGTGAGCAATGTGCAGGCAGCTCTGTGATGGGACAGGCATGGAAATAATAAATACATGTATGCGTTTATTACACATGCATGTTATTATAATGCACGTTTGCACTTTGCATTTACAAACAAGATCAGGAACATTTGCTTCCACACACAAACAGACCCAGCCTGGGTTGCATGTTAAGAGATTGACCCAGGGATTATCATTTTTAGGTAGTCAAAAAGACAAGTTATCTTATCTGCAGCTCCCAAAATTTACTACGTGCTTCAGAAGGAATCCAAAGGAAAGAACAGTTTGAACAAATGCTTAGTATTAACGGAGTCATTGTTTGCTGATGCACAATTAATTTAAACAACCAGAGGTTAGAAGTTTAAATGTGGTTATTAGGATAGAATTTCAATTTTAATTGTATAGAAGTTAGATTTCTCACTTAAGAGAGAACCATAATAATTTTGTTGTATCTTTGTTCTTATTAGATGACTAATAGGCAAAAAAAAATTTAAAATCCACCAAAATTCAATGAAGAAGAAGGGAGCAGAGTGTTCTACTTACTAGATTTTACTACTTTAGTTTTTCTACATAACAGCTTTGTACTCACTTAGTTTTACTGGAATCTTTATGGCCTAAAGATGAGGAAGATTTGGTTTCTCTCTCCAGCTTGATCTTCTTCTGATCATTTCTCAGTGCATCTTCCTGCTGATGGAGAAAAAAAAAGAGAGAAATATAACCCTTAAATACTTCAGAAGAAGCCGCCTTTCTGACTGCACACCTGTGCAACATGGAAAGCCGCACACCTGTAGCCGCATCAGAAGCAACGATCAACTCTACCATGACCAGCAAGACTAAGCTCAGCTGTTATCCCATCCTGGCTACTCCCGCCTTCTTCAAAGTAAATCTAATTCATTCTGTTGCCAATCATCAGAGGGTAAGATAACACCAACATTTTAGGGGGAAGAGAAATTCGAAACAGCCGAAAGGGGACTCATTATTTAGAAGGCAAAAGAAATGGTTTCTCTTGGAAGATAACTTGGAAGGAAGTTTAGTCTAGTGCCATGATCTGTGGCACGCAGAGCCCTCTCTGCGGGCACGCAAGCCGTCGCCCCAGCTCAGCTCCACCACACACGTGCACGTACCTCCCACCAACCAGCTGGTTTTCAGATCTCTGCTGCGCATGCGCTGAGGGCAGCGCACATGTGGGATATGCATGTGCATGTGAGTGGGTCACTCGCACATGCACAGGGATCATTCGTGCATGCGCAGGGTGAATGTGTGTGGGTCGCTCATGCATGCACGGGGGGGTCGCACGCGCATGCACACCACACACACGAGTCATGCACGCATTGTGCTATGGGTGCACATGCACGCTTTTGGCACATGACGACAAAAAGGTTAGCCATCATCCCTGGTCTATTGGTTAGGACACCAGGGTAGAAACCAGGAGACTGAGTTCTAGTCCTGCCTTAGGCATGAAAGCCATATTGGTGACTCCGGGACAGTCCTTCTCTCTTAGCCCAATCCATCTCAAAGGTTTCTTACTTTGGGGAAAATAGGAAGAGTGAAGAACATTAAGGACTTTCACAGCCTTAAATTACTTATAAAATAATGAAGGTATAAAATCATAATAAAAGACATAAATAAAATGAAAGAAGGGAGATTGGATGGCGGCCTCATAGGACTGCTATACCGCAAGCTTCTTCTCACAGGCTGTATAATTAAACTACTGTACTACAGTCCATTGCAGTGGTTCTCCACCTTCCCAATGCTGCGACCGTTTAATACAGTTCCTCATGTTGTGGCGACCCCCAACCATAAAATTGGTGTCTCGGTTCCTAAGACCATCAAAACTATGTGTTTTCCGATGGACTTAGGGTGACCCCTGTGAAAGGGTCGTTCGACCCCCAAAGGGGTCCCGACCCACAAGCTGAGAACCACTGGTCTAATGGCTGTTTCCCTGGGTGAGACTGAATCGTGGATTATTACCAACATTGTTGGCTTTTCGTTGAAAAAATATGATGCTTTTAAAATTATGCAGTTTACAGATCAGGGAGGCATAGAAATGAAAGGAAAACGTTCACATGAGATTTGAAACTCCATCTTTGATAGTGCTTACTAATTCAGCAAGTTTTTTTCATCCAGCAGGCTAAATTATAGTATTGTCATTCTTTTTTTTATTACACTTGTAATGAGTAGAATACACAAATGAAATAGAGGTAGTACTATTAAAGGAATCTACTATTAAGCAATTATTGTATTAATCAATTATTTAAGACAATCTCATGACCAACGTAAATTGTTTGGGCAGCCTCTATGCCAGTGATGGCGAACCTATGGCACACGTGCCAGAGGTGGCATGCAGCGCCCTCTGTGATGGCACGCGAGCTGTTGCCCCAGTTCAACTTCGCTACGTATGCGTCTGTGCCTCCCGCTGGCCAGCTGGTCTTCGGTTCTCTGCTATATATGCAGGGGGCAGAGGGCAGGTGCAGGGATGTGGGACAGGTGCAGGGCCACCCACATGCGCATGCGCAGGACACATGCGGGGGCGCACATGTATGGGGCCCAAATTTTTTATTGCAACTTTTGTTGCTAGGTTTTGCCCCATTTTATGACATTTCTGGTGATTTCAGTTTTGCCCCATTTTATGACATTTCTGGTGATTTCAGTGAATCACTGCCGTTGATAAGCTCGTAACCTGATTGTTAAGTGAATCTGACTTCCCCATTGACCTGGCTTGTCAGAAGGTCCCAAAAAGTGATCATGTGAGCTTGGGAACCTTGCAACCGTCGTAAGTATGAACCAAGCACCTGAATTTTGATCACATGATCATGGGGATGGTGCAAAGGTGAAAAACTGTGAAAAACAGTCCTAAGTCACTTTTTTCTCAGTGCCGTTGTAACTTTGAATGGTCACTAAATGAACGGTTGTAAATTGAGGGCCACCTGTTCTCTCGCCTTTCTTTTCTCTCTCAGCTCTTTCTCTCTCAATACTCTTTGTCTTACATCTCTCTCACACACACACCTCTCTCATCTTTAATCTCTTTCTCTAATATCCCGTTTTTGTTCCTAGAAAAAAATGAGGAAGCTTTGAGAAAACTTTTCTGCACGCCCTTCTATTGATGCAGATAATTAGATCTTAAAAGAGCTGCTTTGAGATCTTTATCAGAATCTCACTTCCTAGACTCCATTTGATTTGAGGGCCACATCAGGGTTGGGTTTGCCTGGGGGGGGGGGGGCTGCCATGACGGCCTACTGCAGCCATCTGTCAGCAAAAACAGGGGAAGCCATGAGCCAGTGGTGGGTTCTGGCCGGTACGTCTCGGTACGGGGGTACCAGTGGCTGCTGGGAGCAACAGCCACCATACCGGAATGGTACCCACTCACCCGCCCTCGGTCCTTACCTGTATTTAAGCCAACTGGGCCATTTGTTTACACGCGCGCAGCATGCAGCGCCTGCACAACGCTCCGCCAAGCAGGGTGGTGGGTGCACATGCGTGCGCAGCACGTGTGCCCATGGTAGACACCCAGCCCCATCGCAGCGTACCAGTTGCGACGGGATCCGGAACCCACAACTGCCCTGAGCTCCCTTTCGCTGGCAGAGGCACCCAGGGCTGGTCCTTTGCTGTATCCAGGATGGCCCCCGTGGGCCAGATTTAAGCACCCTGCAGGCTGGATCCAACCCACGGGCCTTGAGTTTGACACCCCTGTCCTAGATACAGCTACTAAATAGCAACTGTGAAAGCTTGAAAATTACCTCTTTTGCTGCCTGCATATTATTCCAACTCCTCCATCTTCCACTTAGAAGCACTTATTCTAAAATAAGTTAATTGATCTAGAAAATCCTATCAGCGGTTGAGATTGTAAGACTTGGTTATTTGTTTTCAAAGTTTCATTTTGCACCCTACCTCCATTGGCTTTTTGAAAATTGAAATTCAAGATTTTATCCAGTCCTCCTACAAGTTAGAAGGTCTGTAAGTTAGAATTTTATGTGACCTGAAACCAAACAGTGGGAAGTTAATAGTTCTTCATAAATTGTACATAGTTAAGCTATATACCACATTTTTGGAGTATAAAACGCATCGGAGTATAAGATGCACCAAGGTTTTGAAGAGGCAAATTTTTAAAAAAGTTTTTGCATTCTGCAGACCTCCCCAAAATGGCCTGTTCTTCGCGAAAACTGTGTCCCTGAATTTACCTAAACCCACACTAAATATATATTTATCATAAGTCCAAAGTTTCATAGCCAGTAAATCCCCCGTGTTGATTACAGTTTTCTTCCTGTTGATGTCGTTGGTTTAATTTTATTTTCCCCCGTCTGGTTTTAATAATCCATGCAATGCAAAAAGGAGCAGAGTTGCTATCCCTAAGAGTATAAATTCATGGATTATTAGCTTTATCTTATTTTGCCAACGCTAGAGCCACCCCTCCTCCGCCCAAGTCTCTTACCTTTCTCTTTTTGAGAGTTTTGCTTGGCGCCTCTGTGCTTCTTTTGTCGATACCCTGCTTTGTCATACCATGGCTGTCTTTCAGTTCGTGTTTTTTAGGGAAGAGCCCCTTCTCGGGTGGCTGAGGGATCCGCGAGAGGAGAGCCAGCTCAATTTTAACCACAAGGCCCGGCAGGGCGGGGCAATCCCTCAAGGGCGACAGCAACTTCTTATCCCTGATAGGCAAAATATATTTGTCCCTTTGAAGTTCCTCCTTGACAGTAACCGATACCTTGGAGGCGTTAGTTCTACTGGTGGCAACCCCCCTCGGGCTTTCACCGAGAGGACTGAGCGGCAACGGTTCCAGGACACTTCCCGCCACCTCTACTTTTGCCTCATCGTGAGCAAATAAGGTTTTAAGGGTTTTGTGTTTTTTCTTCTCAGTGGTTTCCGGGACAGTTGGTTTCGATTCCTTCTTGTCATCAGATTTCGGCCTCCCTTTCGTTTTCACCTTCGGCTTGTCTTTGGAAGACTGGTCTTTGGCCCCGTACAGTCCGGGGGGCTCACTTTCAACTGTTAGGCCTCTCTTTGGTTCCTCCTGTACGGTCGCCTTGTTGGATCTCCTCGGTTGCTTGCTGCCCACCGTCTGGTGGAGAGACTCTTCTGCGACCACAGGCGACTTTTGGTAACTGCGTTTGGTAGGGAGATGGACATCTTGATTTGACCGGGAAACTCTGCTGCCGCTTTTGGAGTGACCGTCTGTCATCGGACATTCCCTCTTGCCTCCATTGCCACTGCTAGAGCTGGCCGTTTTTCCTTGTCCTTTGCTCTCCTGGACGCTGCTTCTGCTATGGTCATCTTCCAGGAAACTCTCTGTGGGAGATACTGGCTGGTTGACTTTGATCAGCCAGTTGTTCAGCTGCCAACATCTGTTGGAGGTTTGTGGATCAGGCTATGGAAAAGACAAAGGAAAAGAAAAGAATGAACGCATGCCCAAGAGATTATCAAAAGTTGCATGGAATCCTGCTTTAAATTAATAATTGTCTGCACTCCAATTTGAACTAAGAGATTGATGAATCACAACAGGCCATGACTACTCAACCTAGAAATAAGGAGGAATTTTCTGACAGTGAGAACAATCAACCAATGGAACAGAAGTTGCCTTCGGAAGTTCATCACTGGAGGCTTTCAAGAAGAGACTGGACTGCCATTTGTCAGAAATGGCATAGGGCAGTGATGGTCCAGAATGAGTGCTCAAAGCGTGCACGCCTGAACCCCCAAAGTGCAATGCACGTGTGCCCCCACACACGCTGCCCCCTATCCATGCGTGTGCATCCCCCTGAAAGTGCCCTGTCCCATGCATGTGCGTGCCTGCATGCACAATGCCCCATGCATGTGCATGCGGGGGGCCCTGCACGTGCCCCACACCCCTGCACATGCACCCCGCCCCCTCCGTGCATATACAGCAGGGAACCGAAGACCAGCTGGTCGGTGGGAGACATACACGCATGCGTGGTGGAGCTGAACCGGGGCAAAAGCTGGCGTACCATCAGAGAGGGCACTGCATGCCACCCTTGGCACGCTTGGCACAGGTTCGCCATGACGGGGTAGGGTCTCCTGCTTGGGTGGGACACATCACCTACAAGGTCCCTTCCAACTATCTAATCTAAACTAATCTAATCTAAGTAGATTGACTGTAGGGACACAAACAACAACAATATTTTTTGCTACCTTGGCAAAAATTACGTTACGTGTCCAGAGACAAAAATACTCTACAAAAAACAGATTGTGCCATCCAAAGGTATCTTTTCCCTCAAATGTTTATCTTCCCTCGTTATCTCCCAAGGCACATGACCCTGGATGGCTCATAAAAATATCATCCAAACATCCCTGCCGGGACTGTTTTGTTATGTGCAACCACGTACCTATTATCATTAAAGGCTAAACAAATAGTATATATTAAATATGAAATGCGGAAATACCCTTGAAAGTTTTTATGGGGGTTTAGTTTAGCCGTTTCCTCAACTGGGCACTTTCCAAAATCTCACTGTCAGGTCTGGGAACTTAAGTCCTTCTTTGGAAAAGACACTGATTTTGGAAAAGGCTGAGCTATGCTGTACTTATGTGATAATGACTGGTTAAGGCAGAGTTCTTCAAACTTGGCAACTTTAAGACTTGGGGACTTCAACTCCCAGAATTCTCCAGCCAGCAGAGCTGGCTGGAGAATGCTGGGAGTTGAAGTCCACAAGTCTTAGAGTTGCCAAGTTTGGGGACCCCTGTGTTAAGGTCAGGGGTGGGTTCCGGTAGTCACTACTACTGGTTCGCTCGTGGCTGTGCAAGGCGCGCCCACTTTGCGGGCATGCACGTGCTTGGTGCGCGCTGCATGCGCATGCACAGTAAAATAAAAATTGCTCTGTGCATGCATAGAAGCTAAAGACAAGATGGCGGTGCCTATGGCGCCGCCCGGAGAACCGGTTGAGGGGCGTGGCAGCCCTGGGTCGTTGCTTCCAGCGACCCAGGCCACCAAACCAGTACCAGTTCGGCCAGACCAGTCCAAACCAGTAGGAACCCGCCCCTGCTTAAGGTTTCCAAGGAGGCCTAAATCTTTCTACCTAGCCATGCAATTTTGAATGGTCCCCTCTATGTAGGGAAGATGCTAAAAAGGAAAGAAAGAAAAATAATAGTCGCCATTCTTTTTTCCTGTCCCAACGAGATATAGGAAACACATTATGTAAAGCGGGCTGGGGCACAATCTGTCAGTGGATTAGCTTCCCAAGCACTGAATAGAATGGAATTCAGGAGGGGGGGGGCTGAGGAACTGGCAAAAGAAAGATAGAATTTGAACATGGGCCAAATTCACTGCGGAGAAAAACATTCCAGAATATCTTCCTCAATGCATCTTGGTTCTAAGCCCCATCCGCCTTTCTGGTCAGGAAAACAGAAACACCACACACACATGCTCATGCTATTGTTTCATTACATAGGAAAAAATGCAGACACTTCCTATGGCCACAGTTGGCCAAGGAGTTGAAAAGAATTCTGCAGGAATTGTTATTTATTCTTTTCAATCCTGTCTATCAGCAGGATAATTCTCCCAAACCAGAACAGGATGGAATTTGGCCTGTCAAGAGAAGCCAAATGGAAGAAATACCGAGTTTGAAAGGGCTGGATCCAGACACAAGTTGTGAAAGAAAGAAAGAAAGAAAGAAAGAAAGAAAGAAAGAAAGAAAGAAAGAAAGAAAGA